TTTCTTTCCATTTTTGAATAATGGATTTAATGGTGGTCCGTGGGATGTTCAAAGTTTCTGATATTTTTTTATAACCCAACCCTGATCTGTACTTCTCCACAACTTTGTCCCTGACCTGTTTGGAGAGCTCCTTGGTCTTCATGGTGCCCCTTGCTTAGCGGTGTTGCAGACTCTGGGGCCTTTCAGAACAGGTGTACAGTTGAAGTTGGAAGTTTACATCTTAGCCAAATACATTTAAACTCAGTTTTTCACAATTCCTGACATTTAATCCTAGTAATAATGTCCTGTTTTAGGTCAGTTAGGATCACCACTTTATTTTAAGAATGTGAAATGTCACAATAATAGTAAAGATAATTATTTCTTTCAGCTTTTATTTCTTTCATCACATTCCCAGTGGGTCAGAAGTTTACATACACTCAATTAGTATTTGGTAGCATTGCCTTTAAAATGTTTAACTTGGGTCAAACATTTCAGGTAGCCTTCCACCAGCTTCCCACAATAAGTTGGGTGAATTTTGGCCCATTCCTCCTGACAGAGCTGGTGTAACTGAGTCAGGTTTGAAGGCCTCCTTGCTCGCACACGCTTTTTCAGTTCAGCCCACAAATATTCTATAGGATTGAGGTCAGGGCTTTGTGATTGCCACTCCAATACCTTGACTTTGTTGTCCTTAAGCCATTTTGCCACAACTTTGGAAGTATGCTTGGGGTCATTGTCCATTTGGAAGACCCATTTGCGACCAAGCTTTAACTTCCTGACTGATGTCTTGAGATGTTGCTTCAATTTATCCACATAATTTTCCTTCCTCATGATGCCATCTATTTTGTGAAGTGCACCAGTCCCTTCTGCAGCAAAGCACCCCCACAGCATGATGCTGCCACCCCCAATCGATGGTCATTATGGCCAAACAGTTCTATTTTTGTATCATCAGACCAGAGGACATTTCTCTAAAAAGTAAGATCTTTGTCCCCATGTGCAGTTGCAAACCGTAGTCTGGCTTTTTTATGGCTGTTTTGGAGCATTGGATTCTTCCTTGCTGAGCGGCCTTTCAGGTTATGTCGATATAGGACTCGTTTTACTGTGGATATAGATACTTTTGTACCTGTTTCCTCCAGCATCTTCACAAGGTCTTTTGCTGTTGTTCTGGGATTGATTTGCACTTTCCGCACCAAAGTACGTTTGTCTGTAGGAGACAGAACACGTCTCCTTCCTGAGCGGTATGATGGCTGCGTGGTCCCATGGTGTTTATACTTGCATACTATTGTTTGTACAGATGAACGTGATACCTTCAGGCATTTGGAAATTGCTCCCAAGGATGAATCAGACTTGTGGAGGTCTACAATGTTTTTTCTGAGGTCTTGGCTGATTTCTTTTGATTTTCCCATGATGTCAAGCAAAGAGACACTGAGTTTGAAGGTAGGCCTTTAAAATACATCCACAGGTACACCTCCAATTGACTCAAATGATGTAAATTAGCCTATCAGAAGCTTCTAAAGCCATGACATCATTTTCTGGAATTTTCCAAGCTGTTTAAAGGCACAGTCAACTTAGTGTATGTAAACTTCTGACCCACTGGAATTGTGATGCAGTGAATTATAAGTGAAATAATCTGTCTGTAAACAATTGTTGGAAAAATTACTTGTGTCATGCACAAAGTAGATGTCCTAACCGACTTGCCAAAACTATAGTTTGTTAATAAGACATTTGTGGAGTGGTTGTGTAGTGTATTAAGATTATGATGGTGTTAAATGTTTTTCATGAAGAAATGGAATGTTGTTTATGTTAGTATCAAGAGGGAATGTTTTAGGTGTAACGCCACATATAACAGACAGGAAGTGTGTTGTAGACAGGGGAGACTGGTGATTGGCCAGAAGAGGGAGCTTCATTGTTTATAAATAGGGGGGAAAACGAAGAAGAAAGTCAGAGCGAGCAGCCATTCTGAGGCGTCACTCTCCGGGTGTCATGTCACCTGTCACTCATGCTGAAGCTTCTGATCTGAATAAACCTTATGATCAACGTTCAGTATGAGCAGACTCCTTTTGTTCATCAGCAATAATTGCCACCACTCACTCGATACGACAGTTGAAAAACAAGTTTTAATGACTCCAACCTAAGTTTATGTAAACTTCTGACTTCAACAGTATATATACTGAGATCATGTGACAGATCATGTGACACTTAGATTGCACACAGGTGGACTTTATTTATCTAATTATGTGACTTCTGAAGGTAATTGGTTGCACCAGATCTTATTTAGGGGCTTCATATCAAAGGGTGTGAATACATATGCACGCACCACTTTTTAGAATTTTTTGAAACAGGTTCTTTTTTTCATTTCACATTACCAATTTGGACTTTTTTGTGCATGTCCATTACATGAAATCCAAATAAAAATCAATGTATATTACAGGTTGTAATGCAACAAAATAGGAAAAAAGCCAAGGGGGATGAATACTTTTGCAAGGCACTGTATACCACCACAGTCTACTTGGCCTGTATATTGTATGTAAGCCTATATTCAGGTTATTCCTTTCTATTCTTTTCAATAGAAACACTTTTATACACTCTCACTTCCACTGTGAGCATGTCAATCAAGAAGTATGGTGTGGTGAACCCTTTCTTGACGAAAAAGACCTGTGGCGGCTGTACCGTATCCACTGGCACTATAGCTCTCTACGTTTACATTTACATTTTCGTAATTTAGCAGACGCTCTTTTCCAGAGCGACTTACAGTTAGTGAATGCATACATGTTTTTTGTTTTTTTTCATACTGGCCCCCCGTGGGAACCCACATCCCTGCTGGCCAAACCCTCCCCTACCTTGGACGACACTGGACCAATTGTGCGCCGCCCATGGGTCTCCAGGTCGCAGCCGGCTGCGACAGAGCCTGGACTAGTGCCCGTTCTACATGGTCCTCCCAGATCAGCCCGTTAGTATTGTTCAAGTGCACAATATCGGGAATAGGGTGCCATTTGGGATGCAAGCATAGAGAGATAGAGGTCATGGCCCCCTTCTTCCACTTTGGTAACAACAGAGAGTAGTGAATATCTAACAGTACGAGTATTCAGTGTGGAAACTAACTGTTTACGTTTTTCCAGTTTAATTTCCCTCTGGCACTATTAGACGTGCTGTAAATGTTATTCTAGAACAAAAACCTCTAAAAACTTTATCCTATTTCCTTTGGCCACTTTCTCCTTCAAACATACAGTTTTGATGTACTAAGTAGGACACCAAGCATTGGCCTCCTCCCTCTTTATTATTGCCAGTTCAGGAAGACAAAGAGGAATTGGATGTTGACTAGAGACTACACAGCTAATAACAATCAGTGTGTGTATGATGACGTGTGTGTGTGCGCATTGTGTGTGTGTGTGCGTGTTTGCATGCGTGGGTGCCTATTCATGTGTGTGTGTTTAACTCTGTGTGCGAGCTGTTGGCAGAGGCTATTGTTAATAAATGTCAACATCTGTCCGGGGTGTGAGAGCAGCAGGGGATATAAACAGGTTGATTACTGACACTGAGGTATGCTTTGTGTGTGTGTGTGTGTGTGCATGCATGCCAGTGTGTTCTGCTTCAGATGAGAGAAGAAAAAACTAAGTTATAAGCAGATCTACTGTCAGTAAGGACTTGACGTATTACTTTGCTCTGCTTTGCTATGCTTTACCATGCACTTCCAGCTAAGCTGTGGCAACAACATAGGCTTTCTCTTCGACACTTGACACAGTGCTAGTTGAGTTATGTTAAGGTGACCTTACATAAATTATAGTTCTGGATGAGTTGTGACTGGTGGCACTTTAAATCGGAGGAAGGGCTCATAGTAATGGCTGCAATGGTATAAATGGAACGGTATCAAACACATCTAACACATGGTTTCCAGCATCTATGTGAGCTTATTACAGTATTAATAAGTATTAATTATATAGTTTGTCCTGGAACACCTTACATTCTAACTACTCTTGTGTGGCTTGTGAGCTTCATAGATGGGTCATAATATTTAGTTTGTAGCTCAAACCATTCAGACTTTACAGACAGTTTTGTCAGAATAACCCCGGCCCTTGTCTCACAAACACCGCTCTAGCTCAGCCTCCACTAATCACACAGACTAATAGTTGGTATCAATGGATGCAGTAGAAATAGATGAATCCAGAAGTCTGTAGGTGTTTAAAAATGTGTTAGAAGTCCAAAACGTGCCAGCGTCACAGTGGGACTGTAGGAGTTAAACACAAAAACTATGTTTCAAGTGATAATGAGGCAGGTCTGATGCCGAAAAAGAAAGGGAATTATTGCCTACTTCTTCTTTTTGCAAAAATAATAGTTTGTAGTTCCAGTAGTTAGCTATACCACTACATGGCTAAAATAAATTAAAGGACAATTCCACCACTTTTCAACCTCATTTTCATTAATCCAGCACAATACCAGTGTCTACATATGTGGAAATGGTGCATTTCTACATTTTCCAGAAAAATATATAAAGTTAAAAAGTTCTACTCGATGACATCATCAAAAGTTAAAACATTTTAAAAACAATGATTTTCAAATACTATGAGATGCGTGGAGCAAGAAAATACCCTCCTACTGGCTGGAAACTTGTTGCAAGGTTTTCTTACTTTTAATCCTACCATGTCATGTCACAGAGAACCATTTTTTAGGAACTTTCTTCTTATCTTTTTAACCACGGATCATAGAAACGTGCTGTTTTCACATATGTAGATACTGGTATGATGCTGGAGATACTGAATGTGAGGTTGAAAAGTGGCAGAATTGCCCTTAAACTACTGAAAACACTACCTAAATTTGAATTTAGTTCAACTACCACCAAACTAATGCAAAATGTAGTGAAATTACTAGTTGAACTACATATAGTTCACTACTCCCCAACACTGTGGATATGAAAACAATAACATATTTTTAACCTCAATGACCCAAATATTTGGACATACAGTGGAGCTCAGTATGCTTAGTGTGCTTGGTATGTGTGTGTTTCTGTGTGCGTGCATCTTCAATCTCTAACCTTGGTCTGGAGGGTTGGGGTCCCAGGCGGCCCACAGCTGAACGATGAAGAAGGGGGACCAGCAGACTGTGTAGACCAACACTATCACCAGAGTCATCCTCACCGTCTTAGACATGGCCTTGGAGATGGATGGGGGCGTTTGGGCCCGGGGGGGTGGGGGAGGGTACTCCAGGGAGGGGCGTGGAGAGGAGACACATCGGTGGGAGGAGGGGAGCTCAAAGGATGTGTAGGACTCATGACAGTAACAGCCACCATTGTTAGGAGGCAATGAACCACCACCACAACCACCAGAGGTGACTGGGCCATGGGATCCATGTGAGCATGTGTCACATGATGGGGGAACTACAGCTGTACTGGAGCCCCTTTGGTCACTGAGGCCAGGGTTGGAGTGGAGGGTTAGGTTATCTGGGGTATTGAAGGGGCTTTGCTGTGTTGGTGCTGTGTGGTTGTTGTGACAGCTGCTGTACTGTGGAGAGGGGGACAGGTTGGCATAGCACTCTGGGGGTACAACAGCTGTAGACTGGGGGGAGAGCGGTGAGAGAGGGGTACAGAGAGAGCTGGAGGGGTTGTTGTTCATAGTCTTTAGAAGCTGTCCCCCTCCTACTCCTGCTCCTCTCCCCCCTCTGCATCCCTCTCTCCCCCACTCCCTGGTCGCTCTGTCGTCCTCCTTTTTGACTCTGTGGAAGTGGAAGATGACAGCATTGTTCTTCTTTAGCTCTGCTGACACCATCCTCTCTGACTTCAGATAGATATTGTTGTGAATCTCTCTGAATATCCGGATCTGGAATGAGAAAGAAATAGATGAATAAACGAATGAATGAATGAATTAATGTGTCTTAATGAGTCTGAATATGTCTGAAGTATGCAGCTAGATACTAAAAGAGCAAAATACATAAAACTAATAGAAACATACAGGTAACTGCCAAAATAAAGGAAACACTTGAGTAAACGAGGGATACAAATTATATTGAAAGCAGGTACTTCCACACAGATGTGGTTCCTCAGTTAATTAAGCAATTAACATTCCATTATGCGTAGGGTCCATTATGTATAAAAATGCCCAGTTGCCCATTATTTTGGCTACCATGGCTAGAAGAAGAGATCTCAGTGACTTTGAAAGAAGGATCTCAAAGGATCATAGGGGGTTTAAAGGGTGTGTGTGTGTCTCAGTCACCAGATCTCAACCCAATTGAACACTTATGGGAGATTCTGGAGCGGCGCTTGAGACAGCGTTTCTCACTACCATCAACAAAACACCAAATGACGGGATTTCGTGTGGCAGAATGGTGTCGCATCCCTCCAATAGAGTTCCAGACACTTATAGAATCTATGCCAAGGTCTATTGAAGCTGTTCTGGCGGCTCGTGGTGGACCAATGCCCTAAAGACACTTTATGTTATCCAGGCTCTGTCGTAGCCGGCCGCGACCGGGAGACCCATGGGGCGGCGCACAATTGGCCCAGCGTCGTCCAGGGTAGGGGAGGGAATGGCCGGCAGGGGTGTAGCTCAGTTGGTAGAGCATGGCGTTTGCAACGCCAGGGTTGTGGGTTCAATCCCCAAGGGGGGCCAGTATGAAAAATAATGTATGCACTCACTAACTGTAAGTTGCTCTGGATAAGAGCGTCTGCTAAATGACTAAAATGTAAATGTAAAATGTATGCAGGTCATGCTACTGTATGTAGTAGCCTGGTGCGAACTACAGTACAGGTGAGAACAATTTACTACCCGTATTCTTTAGTTCTATCCATAGAATTACATATAGAACCAATAGAATAATATATAGGATCTCTATAGTTGTATCATAGGTTCTTGATTGCAGAAAATGGCTGTTACAGGTGTTTTAAAAAGACAAAATGATCCAGCTTCCCAAGGGGGACATAACCCCCCACCTTGCCAAACATCCTGGGAATGGTAACAATATATTGTTGTTTTCGCTGGGCTATTGAAAAAATATATAGTTATTAGTTTTGCATCCCGTTACACACTGACAGAGAGTTGCTTGACATAATGCAACATGACTCAAGTCAATTGAAGTCTTCCCTGGAGCTTCTCTTCTCTCTCCTCCCTGGGAAAATCTCAGCCTGTTGTCTGTTTGCTATTCAGACTGTGAGACTGACTCACTATAGCACATTGGAGACAGGTTCATCCTAAATGGCACCCTTTTCCCCTACATAGTCCACTCCTTTTGACTAGGGCCCTAATTTTGAGCAGAACTCTATGTGCCCTGGTCTAAACTGGTGCACGAAATAGGGAATAGGGTGCAATTTGGGATGAAGCCTGAGACTCACTGCAGCACATTGGAGACATAGACAAAGAAAGGGGGTGAGAAGAGGGGAAGGAAAGACAAGAGAGGAAGTAAATGAACTTTTTGTTGCACTCAGGTTGGGTTGAATGACAGAAGCAATGGGAGAAAAAAATGGGGCAACTGTACCCAGGAATATACACTACCGTTCAAAAGTTTGGGGTCACTTAGAAACGTCCTTGTTTTCCATGAAAACATACATGGAATGAGTTTGAATAGGAAATATAGCAAAATGCATAGGAAATGTAGTCATTGACAAGGTTAGAAATAATGATTTTTAAAAGAAATAATAATTGTGTCCTTCAAACTTTGCTTTCGTCAAAGAATCCTCCATTTGCAGCAATTACAGCCTTGCAGACCTTTGGCATTCTAGTTGTCAATTTCTTGAGGTAATCTGAAGAGATTTCACCGGCGCACAATTGGCCCAGCGTCGTCCAGGGTAGGGGAGGGAATGGCCGGCAGGGATGTAGCTCAGTTGGTAGAGCATGGCGTTTGCAACACCAGGGTTGTGGGTTCGATTCCCACGGGGGGCCAGTATGAAAAATAAATAATGTATGCACTCACTAACTAATAAAAATAATGTATGCACTCACTAACTGTAAGTCGCTCTGGATAAGAGCGTCTGCTAAATGACTAAAATGTAAATGTAATGTTGGTGTTTCCTTTATTTTGGCAGTTACCTGTAGATACTAATAGAACAAATGTACCTAGACAGTAAAAGAGTGCACACAGAGAAGTATTTTGGAACCGATTCCTAAACCCAATCATCCCAACACAAATACCAAACACAGACTTATCCAAACACAGACTTATAGTCCTTTCTAACTCAATTAAAAGTCCTAGATTCTGTTTCCTGAAAAAGCACATGACCCCAGCAGGTCATGAGAAACTGGGTCTTAGAATAATGTCTTGCCAAACCATGTTAGCAAGGATGTCACTTGATCAGATCTGGGTTCAAACACAACTTCAAATCATTTCAGACTCTTAAGCTGTGCTTGACTGAGCTTGCCTGGCACAATGGAACCAATAGAATAGTCCCAAAACTGCAAACTCGCCAATCGGGGGAACTCCAAGCAGGATAAATCACACACTTTCAAATAGTATTTGAACCCAGTTCTACACTTAATATGAAACACAAATTAATTCAATGTCCCTAATCTTTGGCTTGGATCAAGTTCATTTGGCTGTTATTCTGGTTCCTCGCTGGGTCTCTCACAGTGGGTGGTGTTCTGACAGGCCAGCCACCCAGCAGTGGGTCAACAGTGGGCTGTATTAATTAGGCCAGGGGAAACAGAAAATAGCCGGACCCTGGAAATATCTTTCCTTAAATAGAGCAGCTAGATCTCTCTCTGAGTCTGACTGGACCAGAGGGAGGCAGCCCAGAATGTCTCTATCCCCCACGGGACGCTACACAACACCAGCCAGTACAGCCACCCCACCTACCCCACCAGCCTGTCCCTGATCTGATAGAACTGACGCCCTGCAGCTTATTCAACAGTACCTGACAAATACCGCTCCATCAAAACACAGCACATTTCATTAATGCAAAATCGTTAATGCTTGACATGCTTCAGTTTTTGAATTCTGTGTATTGTATGTTCTCGGGGGTGGCAGGTAGCCTATAAGTTAGAGATACGGTGTGAATCCCAAATTGCACCCTATTCCCTATATAGCGCACTACTTTTGACCTGAGCTTTAAGGATAATGAAATGGGAACTGAACTGGTAAACGGAGGGCAGCTGGTCTCTGATCCCAGGCACCCTCCAAGGGCATTGCACCGCGGTTAACGCTGTGACTGTCAATGTAGAAAAAGGATACATTTCTATTATATTATATTTTTGTTCTGTGGTCACACTGTGTTGTGTCCTTGTTGTCATACCCGGCAGACAGTGATCATTAAGGCTGGCTGTGTGTGTGTGTGTGTGCGTGCGTGCATGTGTGTGTGTGTCTGTTTCAGTAGTAGACAGTACCTGGCAGACGGTGATGATTAGTGCTGGCAGTAAGAACACTGCTAGAGTCATCCAGGTGATGTAGGCCTTGAGCCCCCACGGCTCAGCGAAGTGAGCCCAGCACTCAAACTCTCCTGGAGACACCTCAGACCGCGAGAAGATGAACAACTGGGGAGAGGGGAAGGTTGGAGGAAGGAGGAGGGAGAGGGTGGGGAATTTTGGGAGGTGAGGGGTGAGGGAGTCAAAACAAAAACAAACATACATTTCCTTCACAACTAACAGAACAGGAGACCACACTGTCTAGGAAACTTCCACTGATCTCATGATACTAAAAATACGCCTAAAAAGGGAACATCTTACATTTGACTGCAGGCCCTGGGGTCAGGGCAGGAGTGTCCCATTGAGACTTCATTTCCTGAGCCAGCATGTCATCTAGCTGTCCCTGGTTCACACTTGAGGTAGCCTATACTGATCAGCGGGGCCAGTGTCCCTACCTTTATATTGTTCTGAGGGCAGAACATATGTAAATGGTTGGGTGAAAGCTCAAGTCAACGGTAAGTCGGCAGAGGCTGTCATGTTATGGTTGTGTTTGAGGCTAGGGTTAGGGTTGAGCGACGTTTCTTGCAGTATGAGAGAGAGAGCGAGAGAGAGAGAGAGAGAGAGAGAGAGAGAGAGAGAGAGAGAGAGAGAGAAAGGCCGCCGTAGGCAGACCTGGCTCTCAAGAGAAGACAGGCTATGTGCACACTGCCCACAAAATGAGGTGGAAACTGAGCTGCACTTCCTAACCTTCTGCCAAATGTATGACCATATTAGAGACACATATTTCCCTCAGATTACAGAGATTCACAAAGAATTCGAAAAACAAACCCAATTTTGATAAACTCCCTTATCTACTGGGTGAAAAACCACAGTGTGCCATCACAGCAGCAATATTTGTGACCTGTTGCCACAAGAAAAGGGCAACCAGTGAAGAACAAACATCATTGTAAATACAACCCATATTTATGTTGATTTATTTTCCCATTTGTACTTTAACTATTTGCACATTGTTATAACACTGTATATACAGTTGAGTCGGAAGTTTACATACACCTTAGCCAAATACAATTAAACTCAGTTTTTCACAATTCCTGACATTTAATCCTAGTAAAAATTCCCTGTCTTAGGTCAGTTAGGATCACTACTTTATTTAAAGAATGTGAAATGTCACAATAATAGTAGAGAGAATGATTAATTTCAGCTTTTATTTCTTTCATCACATTCCCAGTGGGTCAGAAGTTTATTGCCTTTAAATTGTTTAACTTGGGTCAAACGTTTTGGATAGCCTTCCACAAGCTTCCCACAATAAATTGGGTGAATTTTGGCCCATTCCTCCTGACAGAGCTGGTGTAACTGGGTCAGGCTAGTAGGCCTCGTTGCTCGCACATTCTTTTTTCAGTTCTTCCCACAAATGATCTATAGGATTGAGGTCAGGGCTTTGTGATGGCCACTCCAATACCTTGACTTTGTTGTCCTTAAGCCATTTTGCCACAACTTTGGAAGTATGCTTGGGGTCATTGTCCATTTGGAAGACCCATTTGCGACCAAGCTTTAACTTCCTGACTGATGTCTTGAGATGTTGCTTCAATATATCCACATAATTTTCCTTCCTCATGATGCCATCTATTTTTGAAGTGCACCAGTCCCTCCTGCAGCAAAGCACCCCCACAGCATGATGCTGCCACCCCCGTGCTTCACGATTGGGATGGTGTTCTTCGGCTTGCAAGTCCGCCTTCAAACATAACAATGGTCATTATGGCCAAACAGTTCTATTTTTGTTTAATCAGACCAGAGGACATTTCTCCAAAAAGTACGATCTTTGTCCACATGTGCAGTTACAAACCGTAGCCTGTCTTTTTTATGGCGGTTTTGGAGCAGTGGCTTCTTCCTTGCTGAGCGGCCTTTCAGGTTATGTCGATATAGGACTCATTTTACTGGGGATATAGATACTTTTGTACCTGTTTCCTCCAGCATCTTCACAAGGTCCTTTACTGTTGTTCTGGGATTGATTTGCACTTTACACACCAAAGTACGTTCATCTCTAGGAGACAGAACGCGTCTCCTTCCTGAACGGTATGACGGCTGCGTGGTCCCATGGTGTTCATACTTGCGTACTATTGTTTGTACAGGCGTTTGGAAATTGCTCCCAAGGATAAACCAGACTTGTGGAGGTCTACAATGTTTTTTCTGAGGTCTTGGCTGATATCTTTTGATTTTCCCATGATGTCAAGCAAAGAGGCACTGAGTTTGAAGGTAGGCCTTGAAATACATCCACAGGTACACCTCCAATTGACTCAAATGATGTCAATTAGCCTATCAGAAGCTTCTAAAGACATGATATCATTTTCTGGAATTTTCCATGCTGTTTAAAGGCACAGTCAACTTTGTGTATGTAAACTTCTGACCCACTGGAATTGTGATACAGTGAATTATAAGTGAAATAATCTGTCTGTAAACAAATGTTGGAAAAATTACTTGTGTCATGCAACTGACTTGCCAAAACTATAGTTTGTTAACAAGAAATTTGTGCAGTGGTTTTAATGACTCCAACCTAAGTGTATGTAAACTTCTGACTTCAACTATAGCCATAGTATGACATTTGAAATGTCTTTATTCTTTTGGAACTTCTGATTGTAATGTTTACTGTTAATATTTATTGTTTATTTCACTTTTGTTTACTATCTATTTTGGTAAAATAAGGGTAAAATACAAAATGTATAAATAAAACCTGACTCAAACAGAGAGGAATGCTATTTACGTTAGCTAGCTGGCTAGGGCTATCCAAGACTGCAACTTTTCCAAGTCAAGGTAAGCGTTCGGTTTTATTAATTCATTGCCTCCGGGGCCCGCCGGTGTAACTGCTAAACTGCTTGCCGTGATTGTACACATGGATTGGATTGTGGGTTTACTAACGCGTTAGTTCTAGTTTGTTGACTATAATGTTACTATGGTGACAATGATGTAGGCTGTGTAGCGGCTAGTGGTTATGGTATGAAGGTTTGGCCTGGAGAAGATTTTGCACCTGGTCACAGGTCAGGGGTGTATTTATTACACCGATTCTGTTGCAAAACATTTCTTGAACGAAAGCAAACTAAACGAAACGGGGAGGGACCTACTTAAATTTGTCCAATAGAAAGGAACGTTTTGCAACTGTTTGGACCAATGATTGCACCCCAGATCAGCTAGATGCAGGCAAGGGGGTATTGATGTCACGGTTTCGGCCGAGGCTGCTCCTCCTCCTGGTTCGGGCAGGCTTCGGCGTTCGCCGTCCCCGGAGTACTAGCTGCCACCGCTCTATGTTTCTGAGTTTGATTGCTTTTGTCTGTCTGTCACACCTGTGTCTGTTTGTGAGTTGATTACGTGTCTTCTAAGTTCCATGTTGTAATCTAGGGTATTTGTGTATTGTTTTTCCGTTGCCACTTTGTATATGATACGTGTTTGTTTTCCGTGTCATTTTTCCATGTTTAGTGTTTTACGCGTGTGCGTAATTTTCCCTCGCCACTTCGTGTTATCGAGGTCGGGGTTTGTTATCTTGCATTTGAGACTATTAAAAGTCTTGTTGGACTAAACCTCTGCTTTCTGCGCTTGACTCCTCCACCACATCCACGACGGTTTATGACAATTGATTGTGTTACTTTCTGTCACCTTGATTTCTCCAATTTGTCTCTCAACCTGTTTACTTACGTAATGAATGTTCATTCATAGGCTAGGTTCTAGCAACCTCATAATGAGTATAGGGTAAATTTGAGTATCATGTAGTAGCCTAAACCTACCGATGTTACATTGAACTGGGTGAATGGAATATGAATGACGGTCATCCAATATGCTGTAATAGAAATAAAGCCATGCTAATCAAACGTAAAAATTGTCCTCCCTAATCTTGAACAGCACGAACTTCCACTGGTTAGGTTTGAGCTGGGATGTGGACATGAAGCTAGGTTGAGGGTTTGGGTTTAGCTGAGATGCGGACATAACACTAAGGTTAGGGTAAGTGTCCCCTCAGTACCTACCTGTGGTAAGGAGAGCAGCAGGGCCAGGCAGGATGGAGTTAAGGTTAAGGCTTAGGTTCAAGCTTAAGCTCAGTGTTCCTACCTGCCTCTGGTATGGAGAGCAGCAGGGCCAGGGGGTCAGGGGTCAGTGATAGTGTTCCTACCTGTGGTATAGAGAGCAGTAAGGCCAGGCCCCAGGCCGTCATAATAGGGGTGTTCCAGCGCGACACGGACCCACCACGATAGGCCTGCAGTGGGCAGCAGATGGCATAATGCCGGTCCACCGTCATGGCTACGATCATATAGCAGGACGCAAACATCCCTACGATCTGCAGGTACTTTACTGAGCGACACAGAAAATCTGGCCCCTGGAACCTTTCTGTGATGTCCCACACCAGCTGGGGAAAAACCTGAGGGATCAACAGGAAATAAGAGAATATTTAGCGTGGCTACATTAGATACTAGCATTCTACTTAGAATCCATGAATCAATACATGCTAGTGTGGACATTGGAACAGAGTAGACTGACTCCCATAGCAATGGAATAATAATAATAATAATAATAACATTTATTTGAATGCTCACGCCATTTCCATTGTATTTTGAGAACTGCGCCCATCATAAACTAGTAGGTGAATGTGTGTTAGTCATTTAGGACAGGGTCATATACAGATGTAGGATCTTAATTTGAGCCAGTTTGCTACAGCAGGAAAATAATCCTGCAGAAACAGAACATGTGAATTATTATGTGGATTATAATTCATGGACATTTTGGTAGAGGTTGCTACATTGTTCTTTATGGCAAATCAAGTCAAACGTTTCAAAGTGGAAATGACAAACTTTAGAAGCCTTTTTAAAACTCAAATACACTGCAAGTTTGCATTTCTCAGCAACAAAAATAAATTAAGATCCTACATCTGTAACAATGATTTAGAGGTGTAGGAATAGTTGACTAATTCATATTGTTGCGCTCAAATCCATTAGTAAACAGACTAGAAGGGACAGAATCATGGTCATGTTAGCTTTACCACACTCTCCATTCAGCATGTCATTGTGATTTAGGTCACTCATAGGCTACTGATGTTGATTACTGTATAGTCATGTGGTGCCTAGCAATCGAAACAGGGCTGGGGTCAATCCCAAGAAAACTGGAGTTGACTCTAATCTCTGAGGTGTCAGTCTCACCTGGAACAGCGCCACCACCAGGTCAGCCAGACACAGGTTGACCATGAACAGATGCATGGGAGCGTTGTGTTTCCTCCTGCGGAGCAGCACCCAGAGTACAAAGCCATTCCCCAGGGTAGTGAGGGCCAGCACCAGGCCCAGGACCCCTATCTCCGCCTGGGCCAGGCCCAGATCCCTCACCCTGGGCTGGGGTAAGGCGTGGGGCGTGGTGGCTGAAGTGTTCTCGGGGATAATCCAGTAATAGGAACCTGCCCCTCCATGAGAACTGTTAAGGGATGTGAAGTCGGAGAAGAGGGAGGAAGTGAGGTTGGTTATTCCTGTCGTCACGGATGCCAGAGAGGAGTGGCCTAATCCATCCCAACCCATTTCCCCGGAGATGGTTTCCATGACTGCGTAAAACAAAAACAAAACAACAGAAACCTCATAAAACAAATGATGATCAAATCTCCCCGTGTTTGTTTTGGAGAGGAAGAGGGCAAAGAGGGCACAGGGCCTGCGGAAATGACCTATAGTCCTATAGTCCAGCCCTGTTCTATACTTGAGCATGCAAGTCACAAGCTTCCTCTGTTTGTTTGCAATACACATTGCGGCTATGATTTGATAATAAACTGTTGGTTTGTTAGGTTTGGTAAATCCCATTTTTATTAAATCATCTTCAATTGCCTCCCAATTTGTTGGACAGGCAAGTTGTCTTACTATGCCCCTCCCCTTCCTTTCTACGTCTTAGCATTCTCTGTCCAGACTTCTTGCCAATACTTCTACCATCTTTCTTTGACTTCTTCCAGGGTCTCTCTCTAGACAAACTGGAAGAACACTTTGTTTCATTGATTGGGAACTTCTTCCTGGTATGTTTTGTCATGAGGATATAAATAGCTTTTACAGGCCCCATTATAAAACAAACATTTGATAATAACAATTGTTTATTGTCCCCCACGATGAAATCAGGGAGGGGACTGTGGATTTATCTTTGTTCGTTCATACGTTAGTCAGACGTGATATCTCACACAGCACTGGGACGATTTTGACTAAAGTTAGCTGAATGATGCGTCTTGCCATAGAGATCCGGCATTTACAAAATTATACTGATTGGCCCAAGGTGGGAGCTATACTAATTAACTGAAATGTGTTGGTCACACACAATATCTCAATTGGTCCAACAGGGGGCGCTGCATCATTCTTGGGGACCGTTGTCTTGTTTACCTTCCAGAGTGCTTTTCCTTACAGAAATAATCTCAAAGTGCTTAAAAAGCCAAACAAACGGCAAATGCAATAACATGATGGTCTTATCATTTGATTTAATGTTTTCAGATTGAGATTGTACTGATTGTTCAAACTTAAAAGAGATGCTTCAATGTCAACTCATTGTGTCTAAATGCAAGAGCCCTATGGGCCCTGATTAAAAGTAGTGCTCTAAATAGGGAATACGGTGCCATTTGAGATGAAACCATTGCTTATTTCCTGTCAGTATGTATGTAGTTCAGTAAAGCTGTGTTTTTATGTAACAGTTCTAAACCTTGTCTGTCTCTCTAACTCTCTCCTTCTGTCTGACGTAAGTCCCGCTTTCAGTTTGTTTTGTTTCTCATATTTTCCCAGCTTGATTTGACAGGTTCTCCCTCTATCCCACTCTCCCTGTATCCCTCTCTCTCTATCCCTCTATCCTTCTCTCCTTCTATCCCACTCTCCCTGTATCCCTCTCTCTCTATCCCGCTATCCTTCTCTCCTTCTATCCCACTCTCCCTGTATCCCACCACTTTTTAGTCCTTCACCTTTGCTCTTATCTCTCATCCCTTGTTTATGCCATTATTTCTCTCCACTCCAATCACACTCTCTCTTGATCCCAGTAAAATAAATACAAATAAATAAATAGCACAAAAGTAAATATAATTGGTATGAAACTGACAATTTGAGAAACAGAGTCGTGGGATAGGGAGAAGCCTTGACCAAATAAACAGACAGAGAGAGAGAGGAGGAGGAGGAGAGAGAGAATGGGGGGGGGGGGGGGGGGGGTACAGGGTTGTTTTACTGTATGTCGTAACTTCAATTGTGGGATATTGTCTCTTTACATTCATTATTACTGTAACAATTTGTAACGTTACACATATTGATGGTAGGTCTACACAGGGTTCAATGTAGAGGATTCAGTAAAGAGGGTCTCTCAAAAAATTGCTATTTGTTAATTTCAGAAGGCAACAAGAGCAAAACATACTTTCCGGCTTTTAGTCAATGTGTGTGATGACCCTCTATACTGAATCATATGTTTTGATTTTGTTCAATGCACCAGTTTTGAGCGAAGGCAAATACAAATGTACTCGCACAGAAAACTTGTTCACTTGACTATGTAGTTATTGCTGACTGAAACATGCTCAGTAAAGTTCGCCAAACGTTATATCTTTGTCTGTCATAACTACAACACAAAGCATATTAAGACATGGTCGCAGCAGTGGGATTTGGAACTCAGGACCATTTTTTATTAGATAAATAGATAGGTACTTTATTCATCGCTGAGGGGAATTTCATAATTATGTGTTTAAGGCTGTAGTCAGAGGCCTCCTCTTTGTCTCTCTCTTCGGTCTTCCTTATTTTTAATCAGGGAATCTCTTAGCCTGCCTTTGAACTGAGGACCCCATTGGTCCCCGTTGTATCTTTAATCTAAAATCATAAGAGGCTTCTTTATACTTATGTTGCCCTCTGGGTCTACCCCCCCCCTCCCTCCCCCTGTAATTATAGGTGGCCTTGTGACCATGTCTGACCAAGTCTCTGACACGCACACACATGCACGCACACATGTTGGTTAGCGGAGGTTAAAGTCTCTCCGGATCCGGGCTCCTTCCTCACAGGTTATCCCCAGAGATAATCATAAGACAATCATAATCTCTCTCTCCCTCTCTTGTTTTCTCATGATTTGGCTGGGTCTTTCTCTCTCTCTCCCTCTCTCCTTCTCCCCTCCCTCCCTCCCTCCCTCCCTCCCTCCCTCCCTCCCTCTCCCACTCTTCCTTCTCTTTCTCCCCCTCCCTCTCCCTCTGTCTCTCAATTCAAATGGGCTTTATTGGCATGGGAAACATATGTTTACATTGCCAAAGCAAGTGAAATAAGCAATACACAAAAGTGAGAAGAAACAAATTCAACAACATCAACAAAAAATGATTAGAAATTAACAGTAAAAATATCACTCAGAAAAGTTTCAAAAAGATAAAAACACTTCAAGTGTTATATTATAAGCTATGTACAGTGTTTTTAACACTGTGCAAATAGTTGTAGTACAAATAGTGGGGGTATTTAATGTTGTTTGTTTTTCACAGGTTGCCCTTTTCTCATGGCAACGGGCCACAAATCTTGCTGCTGTGATTGCACATTTTGGTATTTCACTTACGAGATATGGGAGTTTATCAATGTTTGATTTGTTTTCAAATTATTTGTGGGTGTGGTCTGTGGGAAATATTTGTCTCTAATATGTTCTAGGGCTGACTCCAATTAGTCAACTGGTCGATTGTTTGGTTGTTAGGCTGTTGGTCAACCGAGATTGTTTTAGTCGAGCAGTAACAAATATATATATATATATATATATTTGCACGCATCTCAGTGAACTAATCCATTGCTGAGGCCTAGACTAAAAGCCAATTTATGCTTGATCTGAAAATATGGTCGGAGGCTCCATATGGAGGGTGTGACGCAATTGCGAAGCCTCCAGAGGCATGCAGAGGCCAAATCGAGCTCCGTACCGCATTGCTATGCGCCTCCCAAATTTTGTAACAGTGCAGAGGGCTCTGTATAACTCCACATTGAAATGATTGTTTGACGGTAGGTGGGTTGCGATACATACTGTAGAAAACACAAACTCACATTCTTGACAACAGCTCTGCACTGCTCCATACGCAAGAAGTATGAATGCCCTGACTTCTGCTGAGGCCGTATCACCGTTAATGCTGCATGGCCAATGCAGACGTGGGATTGACCCTGCGCCCAGATGCACAATGCACTTCTCTCTCCAGAATGCGCTCTCTCCCGCCAATTTGTGCGCATTCATTGTTTCATAACTTCATTGTGTGAATTGTTTGCATTTGATTGCTAGTGTATATAAATTCCCCATTACATATATCACCAGTAGTACATTTACCGTTAATTCCTATAATTTCTAATCTACAATGTTTGTTGTTTTGATTACGGTAATTTCTGTTAGTGCATTCAATATTATTATTCCAGTCTTCCCGTTATCATTGTCGGAGTGGACACATTGTTTGCAGAGTGCACAACCTATGCTACACTTGTGAGAAACACGTTTTGGTTTATTTCATCCCATTTACTAGTTTTGTCAATTTAGTCATTGTCTTTTGTTTAGAGCGCTCCTGTCAATGTTGAGTTAGTACGTGTGCACATAGAAGTAAGCCTACAGTATAGGCTACCTGACCATATAAATTGGGGATCTGATTGTATTTCTGATTTGCTTAACGCACCACTACTAATGACCTGTGGAGATTTTTCAAAGTAATGTTTTCTTCACCTCAAACAGCAAGCAAACAAAGTCTGTTTTTACATCCATTGAGATTTACAATAGTTCCTCAATGTATTTGAAAAATATTTTCAGCTCGATAACCACTCAGTGTAAAAGGGAAACATTTTCTTATCCGGTGGAAACGTCATAAAATAGGCCTACCCGATTACTTCTTATCAATGCTTGACTTGGACTGAAATAGGTTCCGGTACTCATTTTGGGTGCTGGTACTGTTCATATTTAGGTACAGGAGCTCCACAATACTTTTGATCTAATATACTTTTGATCTGGTCCTCTGTAGCTCAATTGGTAGAGCATGGCGCTTGTAACGCCAGGGTAGTGGGTTCGATCCCCGGGACCACCCATACGTAAAAATGTATGCACACATGACTGTAAGTCGCTTTGGATAAAAGCATCTGCTAAATGGCATATTATTATTATTATTATATAAGAGGAACAGGAGCTCAAGCAGTAGACCATTTGAGGTGCCAGTACTCAGCTCCGGTGAGCTCCTGCCCAAGTCAAGCACTGCTTCTTATCCCTTGTACAAATAGCCTACAGCTGTGTCTGTCCTGAGCTCACTAGCACAGGAACCTCTGAGCGCCCAGAATATTTTATACAATGTTACAAGTTCGCTGGCACAAGCTTCAGGCCAGACCAAAGTTAATAGTTGATACAATGTTTCAAGTTCGTTGCAGACAGGCCATGTGTACCCAATGTAATTTATAGGATATTTATTTTTATCAGGATACTTTTTACCTAACTAAACTAGTGTTTATTCGCTGAGCTAGTATAGTAACTGACATTAGCTAACGTTACATGCTTCATCACCTCTCAACTGAGGTGAATGAATAAGCTACGCTAGTGAGTAGCTACCACAGCCAGGTCAGCTCTAGCC